ATTACGACACGAGTCGGCCGGCCAGTCCGATTCCGACCCCTTCACCGTTCGGCGTGGTTCGGCTATCTCCTTTATGCGCAAATTGTCAAATTGCCAAATTCGCAAAATATCAAATGGGCAAATTGTCAAATTCGCAAAATGTCAAGTTTTAAAAATTTGACATTTTGCGAATTTGGCAGATTGCGACCGCTTAACAATTTGCGAATTTGACAATTTGTGGATAAAGGGGCTATCTGTCTCTCAAAAACTCACTCAAAAACAAATAAAAATAAAGAGCTCCGTGGCCTAAGAAAATCTTACTACCCGATTTCCTGGTTGCATTTGTGTCATAACCGAGTTTATTTACCTCATAACAAATACATTTATCATTTAAACTTTATCTTGCGGTTTACAAGTCATAACAACAAGATATGTGAAGGAAAACAACACATAATAATAACTAAAATAACCTAAATCTTTGCTTCTATGATGGTTTTAGTTTGAAACCAAAACGTGCCAAAACCGTGTGATACAGTCAGCGTCAAATAGTTCGTGACACCCAAAGTAGCCAAAAAGTTCGCAACACGTCTTGTTACAATTCTTCATTTATTTGAGAAGACTTGGATTGGAAATAAGGTTGTTTTGTTGTCAACTTTTTGGCCGCTCTGGGTGTCCGGAACTATTTGAAGCTGACTGTACCTGTAGCCGTGCCGCCTAAGTGCGAGTACTTAAGTGTCCCCAAGGCAAATAAAAATTACAAATTGTTACTTAAGTAGTAAAGCAATAAATTAAATTTGAATTTGAAACTAAGTAGGTTAATATAATATTCTAAAAGCTTGACATCATAATATTTACTCGGCCACAGGACGTCCATTGCTCCTTCAAGATTTTGGGTTTCATGTATCTCTTGATAAATATCTAGACACTCTTAAATAGAGGTTCAGTTAAATAGTTGGGTTATTCCAAGCAAACTAAGCAACCTCCAACTCTAAGGCATTAGTTCCCAAAATGGGTGGCACGCCCCCCAGGGGGGAGCAAAGACCTTTAAAGGGGGGCCAAAACCTGCGACCGCTGAGAGAATGCATTCCAGACTGCTTGATACGACCAATAATTAATAATCTTGACTGGAGGAGGAGGGGCGCGGAATTTTTTGTATGGTCGAAAGGGGGCGCGTCTCAAATAAGTTTGGGAACCAATGCTCTAAGGCATCACGTCTTATGGGGCAATAAAATGAGCTCAAAAACACATTTTCTGCGAATATAAGACCCGTAAAAATCGGTCACATTTCGATTTGTAACAAACAAACAAAAAAAAAATTTTTCTAAAGACCGATGCGCATTGAAGTTTACCCATTACAAGAGACATAAATTTTTGTAGGTATACAGGGTGGAATTTTGTAATGGCACCTGGAGAGAAAGTACTCTTAATACTGTAGATAGAAAATTTGACTGAAAGAAAACATTCCTTTATTTTTGAAAAGAAAGAGAACTGCATTCAAGGACTTTCGAAATTTTTTCTAAACTTCAGTACCTTAACGTACAATTTTCTGTACATGCGTAATTAAAACAATTTAAGATTTCATGGTTTTCCTTTCATTTGATTTATCAAGTTTGTTAGAGAGATTTCATTCTTATAGGAAGGCTAACGATCTCAGCCTATGATCTGAGCTAACGATCAATGCAATAAAAATACAGAGTGTAATTTTTAACAGATTTTAGTTGGTTCGATTCCCAGGTGTGGCAAGCAAATTTTTGGAAATCTTTGAATGCAGTTCTATTTCTTTTCAAAAATAAAGGAATGTTTTCTTTGAGAATTTTTTTTTATCTACAATTAAATATTAAGAGTAGGTAGTTACTTTCCCTCCAGGTGGCATTACAAAATTCCACCCTGTATAAATTCCCAGTTGCCCTCAGGTGTTCAGAGGAACAACTGGGAATAACCGACACAGTAAAGGCTTTTGCTATAGCGACTTGACACAAACAAAATAGTAAACGACCATGACCCCGGATGTGATGCTCATGACATTAAAACGCTCGGTGCTGGTTTGATTCCCGCAAAAATAAAACAGTCAACATCACGAAATCTTGATCGATATCAAATTTATTTTTTTCATTAACTAGTTAGCCAAATCAAATGAGGCCAGGTAAGTAGGGTAAGTGCGCTAGTTTTCGTCCAATTATCGGAGTTGCCAACTTTGTGATGCGAAATGAATATCTTAAAATACCCTTACTCATATGTATCATATGTCATTTTAGTCCTTATATAGTCTACTTTACGTTAATATTATATGACAATAAGTAACTACCACGGGTTTTTTTATAAAAAATATTTTATGCAAAAGAGGCGATTTCACTAGTTTTCGTCCAAAAAAATCAGTTTTCGTCCTAGTGTACGCTAGTTTTCGACTACTGTGTAGAAAAAAGGGTGCAGTTGAATTATTAACTTAAAACCAATTCTACAATACAGTAACTATGGATTGTGGTATATCATTTGAAAGGTAATTTTGTTAGCTTTTAAATGATATCAAAAAAATTAAATAAGTTTCTTACCTAAATTTAGGAAAATATTTCAATAGGTCGAAGGACAAATGGACGAAAACTAATCTACAGGAATAGCTAATTTTGGTTTTCGTCCACCCNTCAAGGTACGTGAGTGCATAGTATTTTGTCATTGCGTACTGCTCGTACAGAACATCGATCCCTTTTTACCGGCAAGCCTTCTACGGTTTGATCCAGGTGTAGCAGGAAGCCACCAATCGCCTATTAATCGTGGTGCGTTTGCTACAGTAAGTATGTCATTGCTTCCTTCCTAGAATTTTATACATCGATTGACGTCGGTAATATTAAATCACAGGAGTGTTTTTTAATAGAAAAAATGTAAATATGTAAATATAATTATTATTTTGAATAGGGTCACTTCGCCTGTTCGTGTCCACTGCCCTCGTTTTTAACGAGTGATTTATTTTTGGATGGTAACTGGTGATGACCACGTTTTGTTTTATCAAAATCGGTCCAGTAAGTAGTTTTTGTTAATACTTACAAACAAATCTTTCTCGCAACTATTTACATGACTATATTAGTATATTAGTATCTACAAGTTCTGCTTATGTCCCGGGTTCAAACCCCTGAGGGGTAAGTAAAGTATGTAGGTATAAAAACTAGGTATCGCGTTTAGTAAATCCGCTTTTAACATTAAAATATCATAACATTCAAAATCGATTGTAAGTTTGTCCATGACTTTTAAATAGGTTTCTTCGTACAGACGCCATCTTAACAAATTTCCACGATTGATTTTGAGCCTTCATACTAAACATATAACGTTAAAAATCTATTAGAAACATTCTACTTTTGTTGTAAGTTCTAGGAAATAATACTACAGTTACTAGACTTAAACTAATCGATCACTCTATGAGGAAAACGATATTTCTTATGACACTTGTCTTAAATCAATAACAGGTTATGAGTATTGCAAGGTCTAAGGTCCTAGCGCTTAACTCAACCAATGTCTGAGGTATGGAATAAGAATAAGAATGTCTTTATTCAGCACAAAGTGGTGGACAAAGGTATGGGAGCGGCACGGGAGGTTTTAGTAACGTCAAACGTCAGCAAAATATCCTTATGTGGGCAAATTATAATCGCAAACCAGTCGATAAGTGGTCGAAAAGCCCCTTTTTTGTATGGAGTTTTGGAGGGGGGCAGCCCCCCTAGACAAAACGCACTTTTTGATCGAATCGAAAATCGAATCCGTCAAAACTCCATACAAAAAAGGGGCTTTTTGACCACTTTTCGACTGGTTTGCGATTATAATTTGCACTTTGTCTAGACCCACAGATGTATTAATGCTCTGTCAAGTCATAATATGTCAGTGTCACCCTCATCCCGTGCCGTTCTCATACCTCAGGCACTGACAACTGATAAGCTTTACTCTGGTTAAGCTGTACCTATAATCTTATTGGTTGCCAATATCAATGGCATAAATTACACATTAGAAAACTGCGTAACGGGTCCTTGGTTTATAGAATATTAAAGAATATCTACTTTTATACGGTTTATATTTTTAATTAGCCGTGTAGACTTTTGAAAAATTGCGATCAAGTTTATCCTTACCGATTATTTATTTTAATGCTATGGCTATGCAGCGTTCTGCTACGTTTTTACACAATAACCAAAAAGACTGATTAATTATTATATTTTCGGACGTACCAATTAAAACAGTGTAGGTAAAAAGAATGTTATGAACTTAGTGAGCATAACTAAATGGTTTTTAACTCGACCTTTTTTATTTTAATATTGAAGTAAACAAGTAACAATAGGCACTATTTTTTGTTTTTATAATTATGTTTAATCTATATACATATATAAAAGAAAGTCGTGTTAGTTACTTCACTTATAACTCAAGAACGGCTGAACCGATTTAGCTGAAAATTGTCAGGGAGGTAGTTTAGAGCCAGGAGAAGGACATAGGATACTTTTTATCCCGTTCGAAATAAAAAAAAAGTCTGCTTATTTATTGCCATTAAGGCGGAACAAAGTTCGCCGGGTCAGCTAGTTAATTTTATAATAACTAGTCGCAGACTAATATTATAAAGAGGAAAGATTACTTGTTACAAAACAAACTTAAAAACTACTGGACCAATTTCAAAAAATGTTTTTTCATTAGAACACTACATTATACCGAATTTGAAGCGGACATAGCCGTGGGCAAGGGCTTCTAATATACCTAAACTCGCTACCCATTTTACCTCACTACCGTAGTAATGAGTTCGATAATGAGTAGCAGACGAGGCGAAGAATATCGGCAAGACTTGGAGCGAGATCAAACGCAAAGCTCAAGCCTGAACGCGATGGAGGACTGTTGTGAACGCCCTCTGCCCCATCTAAGGGACATAGGACATTAAGTCAAGACCCTCCTTTGTAAGGCGGTCGGGAAATAATAATGTCTGTTCCTTCGACCGACGATCTGCTAAAGGTCGCGGAAAGAGCCTGGATGCGGGCAGCGCAGGACCGTTCATTGTGGAAAACCTTGAGGGAAGCCTTTGTCCAGCAGTGGACGTCATTTGGCTGAAACGAACGAACGTACCTGTTCCTCTTTCGGTGGGGGTTTGGGAGTGATGGGGTCTTCTGGAGGACGCTTGTCGGGCAGCAGGCAGCAGGTGTCCAGGTAAGACTCACAGGGACCGTCCCGGACACTGCAAATAAAAACAATACGTTGAAAAGTGTACCATTATCATCAGGATCAGGTCATATTTAGTCTCCTTTGGAAGAGCACGACTAATTTACCAGAGGCAAATGGAGGATTTGGCGTAAACTCCCCACGGGGCCTACCTGGATTGAGGAGCTATGTTAGGTCGTGTTTAAAGTACCCTGGAAAAGGCTTTCATACTAATCATCATCAGGTCGTTAAGTCCCAGTGTTTTCACCGCAGAAGCACGGCTCTAATTTCATCATCAACAGCTCTTTACAGTCCACTGCTGGACTATGAGCCTCCTCCACTATAGTGGAGTGTTTTGCCATAATCTCCACGCTTGGCAGGCGGGTTGGAGATCGCAGTTTAAAAGATTGATGTTTTTCAGAGAGCGCTGCTGCCCGTTCTCTGTTTGATGTCTAGTCCCTAAGTCGCCTCTTACGACACACCCGTGGAAAGAGTAGGGGTTGGTGACAAATGTATTCTACTCTGCCGTCACCACACGGCTTTCATAGGGAGGTGCCTCGTTGTATAAAGCTTGTGCCGTCGAGTGACTATCTAAAAGTGGGTACCCCCTACAAATAGTAGTGTAGTCTGTGGAAAAAAGTCCATCGCCTACGCAGGCCTTTAATAAATTAGTATACTGACCGTATATCAATGATGCCAAAGCCATCAGTGTTAATGGTGTTGTTGTTGACGTCACAAAGGTAGTACTTGACGCACTCCCCCACTTCCCCTTTGTCTGTGGTGCATGATGTGTCGGCTGTGGAAAAAAATAATTTTTAAGTTTTTCTCCTGCGCCCTAATTAATTTTCCACTCGCTCATAAAAAGTTAAATAACATCGACAAGATCTTAAGAGTTCTTTCCTAGGGAGATATCCCGTTATTTGCAGGATCCCGTTTAGACGTGTTTTAATATTAAAATTTAAAGTTTACAGTCCCGCAAAAAATAGTTTAGACATTTCAAATAGACACAAATTTTATTTACAAGTGAAAAGAACAACATGAGTAAAGAATTTGACTTTGAGAATGTACTCTAGTCTAATAATCCTTTCTTATGACGTCACTTTCTTCAAAACTTGTACCTATTAAATTTTTAAAATAATTTACATATCATACGGTTTATTACATATTCCCAAGAAGTTGTGGTTTTATTAATATTGACATAAAAATGCAAATAAAATGTGAAGTAACTCGTATGGCCTGTTTTGCGAGGCGAGGGTCAGGGCTGTGTCACATTGCCAAATTTGCCAAAATATTTTTATTGGTAGAAGAATCCAAATGAAGTTTCGTTTTCAAATTAAAATAACTTGAAATATTATGTCATGCAGGTAAACGAATTTAGTTACTTATTAGTGACTCTTCACTTAAGGTGACAGTTATTCACAACACAATTAACTTCTAGCCTTTCGTTGGAGCAGACAGCAGACTCCAAAAAAGAGCACTAAAAAGTTTTATTTTATTCCTTATTAATTAAAAACCACCACCCAATAAAATTGCTTAAAAAACCAGTCAGTAAAAAACGACTTCCAAAATGAAGGGTGTATGAAATATTGAATTTTTGGTGTTCGATTGTTGGTCAATTGACCCTATTTTTCTATATTTAGTGCACTTTTTTGGAATCTGATTTTTTTGTTCATTTTTGGACCAGTGTTTTTGAACCTTTTTCATGACACGACCTCCCTATGAAAATGAAAAAATATTTTGCAAGCTCCCGACCATTTGCTTTTTTTCATGCATTTTATATGTTACAGAGATGTTTTAGGGACCGAATACGAGGTAGTTTTTACGACCTCTCGCGATGCCCTAACTAAAGAAAATCACTGTTTTAGACTATTGTTAATTTTTGGCAACCCTGCCAAGTTCTTTCACGCATCTTAGTAAATAACTATGAGTTACGATCTAAAAACTGGAGATTTGTTATTTGCTCGACGACTAACACCGACCACGAAATGGTAATTTCAACTAATAGATTTTTAATATTTATTATATTTAACCGTGTTGATAGATTTGGAATATTTAAAACCAGTTATTTAATTATTTGTATACAGTTACTGATTGATGTATTATGCTATTAGAGGTTTCTTTGATTATTAAGTGGTTTCTTAGATCTTTAACCGCAAGAAAATAAATTTTCTCTAGAGTTCACTTTAATTGATCGCTGGAAATGAAATTAGTTTTTAATTAATAAACAAATAAGGACTTTAATTGATTTGAAATCAATCAATCGTTAGACAACGTTAACAATTATACCTAACAGTACCTACTTACTTACAATATTCGGGAATTATTAATATGAAACTATACCTACTTAGCACATTAAACAGAGAAAAAAAAATCAGACAAATTTTTTTGAAACTGCTGGTTAGATATTAGGTATAGGCACCTTTATTTATCTACATCACACTAATATTGTTTATTTGTATTGAATAGGTTCCGAAATTGCTGGACTGACTTGAAAAATTATTTTACCATTATCCTACATCGTTTCTGAAAGCGGTACGAAATTCGCCGGGTCAGCCAGTAAGATAATAAATTGGCACTTGAAAATTTCGACGGTTTCATTCAGTTTATAAGTAGCTCAGATGGACGAGCAGTCGCCCGGCAAGTGAAATAGTGGGTTCGATTTCCGCCGTAGGCAGTAAAACTTATAAAAAACTCATTTATTTATGCAAATAGGTTTTTAAAAAACCACTTTTACGCGTCCCAGTATTAACCCTACCATTGCCACTGCTTCGGCACAATAAATGGGCCAGTGCTGAGAAGAAGCAGCGCAAAAAAGTCAGTCACTATTATCATTTATCTATACTTCTACACTAATATTATAAATGCGAGTCTGTCTGTCTCGCTTTCACGCCTAAACCACTGAACCGATTTTGATGAAATTTGGCATAGAGATAGTTTGAGTCCCGGGAAAGGACATAGGATAGTTTTTATCCCGGGATTTGAAACAGGGACGCGCGCGATAAAGTTTTACTGTGACAGACAAAATTCCACGCGGGCGGGCGAAGCCGCGGGCGGAAAACTAGATATCATATTAAAAAATTATATCTGACCATTGTCACCAGTAGTGATGGGCACAAGCGTAGACGGCTGCGGGGGAATCCTATCCCCTACCACCGAAGGGGGGGTCGTCACCGCCGGAGTGGGGCCCACGGTGGATCCGTTGGGGGGCTCCCCGAAGATCTGGTGCAGGATGGACTCGAGGTCCCCGCCTTGCTGCTGTTGACCCATTGTGGAGGCTAGGAGCAGGCATACTGCTGCTGCTTTGAGGAACATCTGGAACAAAGATATTCACACATTTTTTTTATCCACAACGAGGAAGCTCTTGGCCTGTATCTCACCTATGTGATGATCAGGCTGAAGGTGGAAGCGAGCTTCACCCGGAATCCTCAACCACGGAGGAACTGGCTATCTTACCTCTAACTGCCGGAACACAACAATGCCAATGCTGTTAAGCTGTTAACATTGTTGTTATGGTGACAGACTTAGGTAAGATGGTGGTAGCTAGCCAGCGAAATTTTTTAATTAACTATACATTTTTGATATTGCGGGAAGTGCCTGGATGGATGCGGGCAGCGCAGTCGTGGTGGAAATCCTGGGGAAACTGTACTGAACTAAACATTTTTGGGCCGTTTCTGAAAGTGCTGGCCATGAAAAAATTTGTCGTTTGAAGCAATACTCACCACATAACTAGCAGTTATTTCTACTTAGTTGAGAATTATTTTGCACCAATGTCCTAAGCACGAATGACTCTCGTAATAGTGCCTACGTTACGGTGTTGTTTTGTTTTTCATACAAAAAAACTATTACCAAATGTTACCACAACATAACGAGAAGGACTGAGTTGCAGGATTACTATAGATGAGTATTATATTTTATCTGTGCTAGAGGCAAGTTATACAGAATGATTTATCATCATCATCATCGTCATTTCAGCTACAGCCGCCTTCTGAACAGGCCTCCCGCAATGATTTGCAGATTGACCGGTCGGTAGCGCCCTGCGTTCAACCCCTTCCTGCTATCTTTATGAGGTCGTGAATATAGGTACCTTGTGGGTGGCCGTCACACTGCGCTTTCCGGTACATGGCCTCCACTCCATAACCAGGGTGATTAATTGAAAGGTAATCATACAAAAAGGTTCTATTCTACTTTTAGTAATACTACTCGTATACTCAAATAGGTACAAAATAAATTGCTTTTAGTTGCGGTCTAACTACCTATATCTTACTCCCCGATTTCCTGTTGCATTTGTGTCATAACCGAGTTTATTTACCTCGTAACAAATACATTTATCATTTAAACTTTATCTTCTGCGGTTTACAAGTCATAACAACAAGATATGTGAAGGAAAACAACACATAATAACTAAAATAACCTAAATCTTTGCTTCTAGGCTGATTTTAGTTTGAGTGAGCATTATAAAACCAAAACAGTGTGGTACAGTCAGCGTCAAATAATTCGTGATACACAAAGTAGCAAATGATATTTATTTCTGTTCGCAACACCTTAGGCCAGTAGAATAAGACATGAAAGTCAATTAAATCGGAAATAATTCCTACAAAAGGTTTTATTGTTTTAATGGCTTCATTTGTTGCTCATTAAGACTATCCCAGGTTTTCGACTTCGACGGAGTTGTGCTTAGGTTGTGGGCCCCCCCGAAAGGGGCATTTTTGCGGTTTTACGGTCATACCGTGTAAAGAACTTGCAGTATCAAAAACTGATCTTTATGACGATTGTAGGGCATTTAATCCTGCATTGAATAAGACCAAATTCATACATTTTGGACAAACCGTTCTCGTGCTTATCTTCGACAAAGTATAAAATATACGTATATTTAATGACCCTCTCTACATCCAATGACTCGTCACCTGCAGGCTCCCAAGGATTAAAAAGGGCCACCTTAACCAGCGTATTCCTGTCAAGCCTCGCGAGTTGGATTCAGAAATACTTAAATTAATTTATAGGACTCGATTCGACTTTTTTCAAGTGTGTTTGAGATGCGACCTTTAACGCTAGAAAATTGACATAAATACCCTCAGTGGGGGCGACACTGGTTAGGGTTAACTGGGTATAACCGACACAGTAAAGGCTTTTGCTATAGCGACTAGACACAAACAAATTACTAAACGACCATGACCCCGGATGTGATGCTCATGACATTAACGCTCGGTGCTGGTTTGATTCCCGCAAAAAGAACCATCAAAATCTCGAAATCTTGATCGATATCAAATTTAATTTTTTCATTAACTATCTTAGCCAAATCAAATGAAGCCAGGTAAGTAATTTGTGCTTTGGCCAGATCGTAAAATCGTAAAAAATAACGTCTTTTTGATAGGAAGTTACCCGCCACCAGCGAGAAGGTTAAATTAGTAAAAAGGTCTAAAATTACTTCATCAAACTTCTTCTACTAAGTTACCTAATTAGTTATTAAGTTTTAGATTTGTAATTAATTTGTTTTATTATGTTAGTAATCCATATTTTTTTGGTTTTAGACACTACCTCCCTAATATTTATTCGATTTACTTATTTCATAATATAACGTTTGCCTTGATATAAGCTCGATTATAATTAAGTACATTGGGTTCTATAATCGCTCATAATGCCGTAATAACAATAAAATTCGTTCCAACAAAATCAAAGTCATCTCGGTACATCCCCGTGTCCAATCAATTTACATTAAAAATACCTTAAAAACTAAAAACTCACCTCTATTCCTTTTTTAAATGCACAGATAAAAACAAGATTTTTGTTTCTTAATCACCAAGCAGGTTTTATTATTTTAATGTTTTCCTCAAGCGCGACCTCGCGGTCTGCTGCTGACCGCTTCGGTTACCGGACTGGCCGAAGCGTTTATGTTTAAACATGGTCAACATAGGTCGTTTTTATGTGCCATAGTTAAAATTGATGCAGTAGAGAATATTGGTCTTGAGTCCTGAGCGAGCGAACGCACGAGACGCTGGAACGGCAACTTACAGATCAAAATCTCCATTAATTTTTTTTTTGAAGATGGGAATGTCGAAACGATTGCCTCTGGTGGAAATCGAATCTTTTGCTTGCCTGGAGATTGCTCTGACCGCTGAGCTATGGAGGCATAGCGTAAACCCCTTGAAAAATATACCTACAGCTTTTTTTCATCAATGCTAGATAGTGGGTAATATATCTTTAAAAAAATGCAGTAGTAGGGTCTACAACTCTTGCACTATTTTTTTAATTGTGTAGAATATAAAAAATATACTGTTATACTAAAAACAAATAAAATAAAACCGGCGTTACTAAAACTCACTTTATTTGTGGCCAAATCAAAACGAGGAAAATACAAGCATTAAGTAACGTATTCTTTTGTGTAAATCGTTTAAATCCGATATTCCGATTGTGGAATAAACAGTCTTGGTAAAATGAGATAATAAAGATTTTGGTTAAAAAGAACCAGTTTCAGGTTCCAGATAAAGATGTATAGAAGCGCTATCTAACAAATAACAGTGACTTTAAATCTCTTGCAGTGACTAAGTATTACTAAGTAATAAGTCTTAGAGTAGGCGCACACCGTTGATTTTTCGTCGGCCGATAGTTTAGTCGGGCAGTTGATCAGTATGGGCATGTATGGGAGTGCGCACACTACGCCGATTCGATTTGGCCGATTCTTCATACAATTTAAAATCGGGCACAAACTATCGTCCAACTAAAAATCAACAGTGTGCGCCTACTCTTAGTTTTTTCTTCTTTTTAAAAGCAGAACTACTGCTCCTCCTTCACTGCACTATGTCAAAGTGTCTTATGAGGAAAATGCATACCGGTAAGTTATTCGAAAATGTGGGTATGTCCACATCACATCGGCCATAGTAAACTCATCTATCTTTAGAGCGAAACTCGTTTAGCTCGCGGATTGTCTTAAAGTTTTTTGGTCAATGTCACGACATTCAAGAAGTCTCAGCGTCGAAAGAAAGTTTTTAGCCATTGAAACTACATTCAAGTCTTGTATGAATCAACAAAAGACTATAATATTTACTAGACGACAGTTCAGAATAAAAAATGTGTCATTATAGCGGGTATTCACCGGTTACCAAACTGAAATCAGGGAAACAATAGTAGGTACCTACGCTCGTAATTAAATAATTATGTTTTAACAGTCATCATCTAACTAAACGCAGTGCCTTCATATTAGATTTTATTTTTGAACAAAATCAGTTATTTTTTCCAAGTCCTCGGTGACCTTCGCCAAACACAGTTTTTCAACATTTCTATCAGTCTTTTTTGTTCTTGTAGCGAATACAAATCGGAATCCTACATTGTAGTTAATATTAATATTCCCTCGTTTAACTTAAAAATAAATCAACGAATTACTACTATTCTACTTTCCGTTGATAAACAAATCGTTGTTTACAATATTTATCAACCTCGCTGTCAGAGGGCGACACACTTAACGTGTGTAATCAACTACTATCACTTCTTAATAATTCATCGTCATCACCATTTCAGCCACAGGACGTCCACTGCTGAACATAGGCCTCGCCCAATGATTTCCATATCGCGCGGTTGGTTCCTGCATCCAGCGCCACGGCCGAACCAGAGCTTAGGTACATCTAACGTCGTCATTCACTAGTAAGCCCGTTAAAAAAAAAATATGAAAATTTTAGTTCTTGAAGTTTCCGCTAGGGGCGCTGTACAATCCGTCATACATTTAATTGCACTTTATCCCTTATTCAAATAAAGGTAGATATATTACCACTTTGTTTACTTTTAAAAAAGGATCCTAATTTTCGATATGGTAATACTTAAAGATATCTTGGTCACTTATTTATATTTTTAAATATATTTTTTTACTTATCTATGCCATTTTACAACTTTTCAACGTCATTTGTCACTGTCAGATAATGTCAAAGTCAACCAAACGGTTTTGGTGTGAAAAATTTCAAGTTTTTAGCGCGCGTTTTTAGTATTTTTGAAACTTTGTTCAACGAAAATTCTGATAAGTGTTTTTTCGATTCAAATTCCTAAACTATAACATTTATTGTATAATCTCTCTTATAGGCAACGTCTGCAATTGATTTATTCTTATAATATAGACATTTTAAAGAAGTGGTAAATAGTTTACCATTGTCAGATCCCGTCTTGACAAAAGTCTGATGATATATAAAAAAAACAAAAATGCTACATTTTACAATTGTTTTTAATGATTTCCTAGTAATTTTGACTAACGTCCTCGGTCAAAACCACTTTTGAGTTTTGACTGTAATAATTATAATAAATAAGTATAGTTTATTTGGATCAGCTACTTGTAATGTTACTTACCTAACCTTTCTAGGTACTTTTGTACCAAGTACAATAACATAATTTCTAGCTACTATGAATAATAATGTTTAATCTATTTAGAATTTAGAATAACTAGTTTGGTTTTCCTTTGTCCTTAATAATTATATCCTATCTGCATTATCATAAGGTCAACTGGTTGACAGACTGCCCTATGGAATTAAGTCCGCCATTTGTAGTTTTTCGAAAAATTAATAATGATGAAATAAATAAATTAAATCAAATTGGTTTCGGCTTTTCGTAAAAAGTAGACATTTAAGAAGTTTTATTTAAAAGCGTCATAATATTTATTTTCTAAATTCGCTCTTATATGGGAAATGGTATCTTCTAGTTCGAAGATATCAAAACTTCTGCTTGAATAGTTTCTAAAATTGTGTGCATTAAATTATGAAGCTACGAAAAATCATTTTATTTCATTAAAAACAAACATAATTCATTTAAATATGTGAAGAAATGGTATATTACATATCAAATACCATAAAACATTAAATATTTAAGCTAAATTATCAATTTTTCCTTGCGTAATACCTTACCTGGATGTTCCGTTTACGACCTATGAAAACCTATAAAACTATGTAAATTGACATTTATTACCTTGGTTTTGTAGTTTTGTAAAATAAAAATAAACTTACGTCCTGAGCAACTTGCCTAGGACGAATATTTGAGGGGCGTAAAGGTCTTTTTAATGTAATTTTGAGGGCGTAAAGGAAATCTATCTCAGTAAATACAGCTCTAGTCCAATTTTTCAATACCTCTTCGGAAAATGCTGTGAATTCTAAGCACTTTCTTCTTAGGTCATATTTTAATAGCTCGAAAAACAAAAAAGTTACTGTCGAATAAAAAAATAAAAAATCGTTTTTTGCTTCTCCTGAAAAGTCGTACTTTGTCCTTTACGACCTTTGAGCCCAGAGGTATCGATATTATTTTGTACATTAATCAAGGCTTACTTCTATATATATAAAAATGAAACCCGTTTCGCGTTGTCACGGCATCACGTGTGAACGGCTGAACCGATTTCGATAATTCTTTTTTTTAAATGTTTGTGGAAGTCCAAGGATGGTTCTTACGGAAAAAAATATTAAGAAAATCTCTACGCTAAGGCGGTACGAAGTTCGCCGGGTCAGCTAGTAGAAGATAAAAACCAAAAATTTTCTGAATTTACGAGAAATTCAAAGTTATATTAATAAAGTTAATATGTAACTTTGTTTCCTGTTCAAAGTTATTCTGAAAATAACCCAAGATGACTGTACTTATTTGTGTATTTAGGCCCAGTTTCTGAGTAACTTAACTCAAGGATGTATGTATTCAATATGAACCCTTATTTTCCTGTGTACCCTTGGCTGTTCCCTTGATGGTACAGTGGAAAATAAATTTTAACCGCTGTACCCTTGGCCGTAAAACCCAACCAACTTAAATTGTACACGTGACCAAGAGGACTAGCTTTTCTTGAATTTGGCCAAAAAACGAAAACAAATGAACATCGATAAAAACAAATGAAGTAACATGGATGTAGATAAAAGTAAAACCTAATTATAATTAATTTAGTACATAGAATAAAAACAATATTACGCCATTTTCCTGTACCACTTCTGAAATGTCAAAATTGTAGTACTGTCACGTACTGTCGACCGTCATGTAATAAAACAATACCGCCATTCCTCTCAATAAAACAAGGTATATCATCGTCAATGCAATGATAATAACAAAAAATATTGTAAAATCAGTTATGAAATAACATTCACAGGGACAATAATTGTCCCTGTGAATGTTATTTCATAACTGATATTATTGCGCAGAAGAATAATCTCAAGATATCATATTTCTTTTTCAGAATAATAAAATTAGCCAAGTGCGTGTCGTGTCACGTGCAATGTAGGGTTCCGTAGTTGTCCGTCGTTAACACAATATATTTCAGAAAAACCAAGCAATTACTTCATCTAAATTCACTTTGAATATTTTCTTCTAAGGAATTTTCACTAGTTAAGAAATTTATAATACATGAGTTAAATGACTAGTAATCTAAAAAGAAACGGTTACATTAAAGAGGTTCAATTCAATATCAATCCTAAAATAGGTACAGGATTACACTTAAAATGGAAAACTATAGACTCAATCTCAGTAAACATAGGTAAATATTAAATCTCATTAAATATGGGCAACTAAAAAGAATCATCTAACTCCTAACTTACGAAGTTTGACCTTTCATCATCAGCTCACCTAAAAACCTGAAGTAATACAACTGTATGATGTACATACGTACCTAAAATATTTAAAGAATTATTCTCCAACTCCTAACCTTTAAGGAGTTTTACCTTCCATCATCACCTCATCAACATTAGATGATGACTACCAGATGCATATACTTGAATATCTTTAGAATAAATATGAAAAACGATATACGTGCCTATAAAATTTAAGGGTTGCCCTCGATTTCCCTAGGATCCCATAATCAGATCCTGACTTGGTGACAATGGGACCACCTCAGAAGTGTACCTTAAATCGAACAAAAAAAAAGAATGTTGAAAATCGGTCCACAATTGACGGAGTAATCGGTGAA